TATTAATTATTATAGAAATATGTAAATTGATAATAGATAGATTTCTGGATTATATATATTTATTTATCGGAGCTATATGGAGTATCTACTGGAAGCTAAATATAAATTACATGTTTATCTATATCGTCGCTTTATGTCTTATCATAAATACCAATTAGCGATAACAGTGTTCAGTTTTGTAAAAGCGCGCCTTAAATGAAACGGCTGTCACAGGATAATTATATCTTTTGCCGTAACAGGTTGATTATGAAAAACGTGAGATTTGTGTGGATAATTGCTAATTTAAATACCAGATTTTGTAGCGTTATTAACGACGTGAGACACCTTGTATTAACCGCGGCCGATAGACATTATTTACAGAATGCGATATCATTACAACAGTATGACAAAATCTTTATACGTCAATAAAATAGATACCTCGAAGATTTCTGTGGAAACTTCCAACTAAATATAATTGAACGTATTAGAATAACTTTATGATTTGATAATAGTTCGTAACACGTTATGTAAAAGTCAATTTGCATGGAAAATTGACTTTAAACGACATTCAAATGCTTATTTTATTCTCAGTCTTTTATTGTACCACGTTCGACATGATTTTCCTTCATTTGTCTGTTATCATCCATGAATATTTACAGATTTACGTAGAGTCAATTACTGTGTGCACTTTATTACTTTACTCCGCGTTCATTTGACTCTAGAATAAGCATTTATGAATCAATCTTTATTCACGCTAATAGGTATAAATGGAATCCGTCAATATAAATAGCCATCTTTATACAAATTATTCTCATCGTTTTTCCTTTGATTCACTACTGTTTCGCAAAATTTTTATTTTTGAAATTACAGCAATTTATTACGCTTCAACATTCTTTCGAATATATAATCAATGTTAATTATTTTCCAATGTGCTTTTATTAATTTAAAAATGGTTACAAAGTAATCTGAATGTCAAATCGATAAATGAAGATGTGTCCTTTTTCTAAAATGACGAGACTGTAATCCATCGAATTTTTAAAATTTATTTTAATTTCCTTTAACATTACATATCTCTGTCAGAAGCTACAATGAAAACAAAAGAACAGAACGAAACATTGGCCTTTAATTAAAGATGAGATATATATAAAACAAGCTATTAAATATAAAAGTGGATATTCTTGATCTTCATCTTGAACAGTGGTGATTATTAACATTTGATTAATATTTTACTAAACTAGTTGTTTTGTAATTATTTAAGTAGTATGTCAATTCGCGCGTATTTTTATTTGTGTCTCACTATCATCTTGGTGTCTTGAGATATCGTTTTTATTAATTAAGTCTATGTGATTATCTATCGCTGATTGCAATTAATTTTATTTTAATTTTCGATATACCTACTACTAAAAGCTCATATCTAAATAGGAAAGTTTTAGTCGCGTGTTTATATATCGAATGCAAATGTCGAGAATACAAATGTCAATCTCGACGCGAGTCGAAAAGAGGCATGTTATTCGATGATGACTATGAGCAATAAACAAACTATTCGGTTACGCAAACGAGTAAAATGTATCCGATACTTCAGTATCAAGGATTCCGACGAAGTGCCAAATAAATCGGTTATTCACGAACGAGACGATGCACAGCCGTAATAACCTTCGAAGTCACGTTCGCCTGTTCACGACGACAAGTCGAATGCCGAGGTCGCGAACGAAGCTTCATCACTACTTCAAGACTATGAATTCGTATAATGTGTAATCTTCGTGTTATTTTTAAAACTCGTAAAAAATACATCTTAAAAAAAATCTCACAAACTTAATCTTAATGCATCGGTAAAACTAAGCGTTTTGCAAGTCTTTAAGCAACATCAATATAATACGTTTGTTTTATGCGGGTGCCAGGTCAAAGTGATAAGAATTGCAATATAATGTTGTGATATGTAAACAATGAGCAAACGATATTTTTCTTTATACTTTAACATTCGTCATATTTCATTGACCAGCGATGTATTTATGCTTTGTTGTCCGAACATTATTGACAAGTTTACTTGATTTTACTTCTTAGAAAGGATAACAATTTAAATGACCTTGTGAAATTGTTGAAGTTTAAAATTGATAAAATAAATATAGCTTGAATTGTATCTATCTCCCTCATTTTTCTTGATGATTTATTTTTTTTTTTTAATTTTGTATATTGTAAACGAAATGTTGTTCTTATTAAATTTTCTAAAATGATACAATAAAAAAATAATTGGCCCTAAGTATTAGTTAATTTCTGTATGATAATAATGCTTTCATAAACGTTTGAAATAAAATAATTTACGAGCGTAAATACGGAAGAAATTTGAGATCTTTGTACTATGATTATTTGAAATGATCTTATTTAAACGCAAAACATCTTTACAACGTACAATAAGAGATAATCCATTCTTTACTCGGTAAGAACTTCTGCGAGCAAGCTGTGTCAATACAGCTATGATTGCCAGTCATAATACACATAAGAACAGCTGATCTTTGCACGCTGTCACTAAACTATAAATGTTTACTGCGCTTATATGGCGTACATGACTCGATGATAATATTGTTCAGAAATCGATTGTAACAGAAGCCAGTGTATTAGAATAGATAAGAAAACAATATTACTTTAGATTTTTTTTTTTTCTTTTTGAGAAAATATTGCCAAATAATGGCTAAAAAAAGAAACGGAGTATTATTGTGAAAAGCAAATAATAATATGAATTCTTAACCCTTAATACACGCGATTGGGTAATTCATATCTTTGGGCATTTCTTTTCTTTAAAATATTAGAAACACTTACTTATTTTTTTTTTATACTTGTGAAAGTGATGAAAATTAATTTAACCCGAGACACGAACTACCCATCGTGTAGTAAAGAACTGAAAAATCATTACATATACTAAGGATTAATTATGACGCATGAATTGACTTTATAGCGGGGATTCCAATGTTTCGTAGATTATTAAAGCGTATACGTTACAGTCTACTTAGGGTAGACCTCGACAAAGTGAATAGCTTTATTATAGCCGTCTTCTTCCTCGCCTTCTTATGATGCCGCTTTTATAATGATATTCCATTTTGTTAACGTCGGGCACAAAGTCGGTAGCCATGATCCGTTTCCACGCACCGGTGCACCCGGCTTTACCGCCACATCGTTGTCGTCATTCTGGAAATCCAAGAACGAGAGAGTGACTGCGAGATGAGTCGGATAATCGCATGTGAGCCGCTACGATCTCCTTATTGGAAATCAATGTATCATAAAATATCGTAATGAGTAAAAATATACACGAAATAAAATATATATAATTTTTTTTTAATCATCCAGACGTTAATTAAATCCAAACGGAATTGGAAAGACTCGTGTTGCGAGTGACGAGTTATGCGGGAATGAGTTACAAGAAGTTGTCAGCCACGCAACGTGAAAATTACGTAAATGTGTGAGACTTTACCTTGTCACTTGAGTAACGTGAATCGATAAATTTCGAGAGAAGGTTCAAGATAATGCAGCGGAATTTGCATATGTAATAAACCTTAGCAGCTTGAATTGTTTACCCGTCACAAATTGGAATTGAAATATAGAGACGTCCGAGGCGCAGAAACTACTCGGTTGCGACGATACATGAATATGTATTAATGAATTTTACTATTCATTTTATAATTCACGTCAGAACGAAGGTTCAAACGGATACTTGACTGTCCGTGATAAGATAATTAAATTAGAAATTCAACATCACAGTATTTTTAGTTGGCATACAGTGCGCAGTCTTGACTTTAATAAGAATATGAGATTACCGATAATTATGATTTTCATTGGCATAATGATTCAGATAATCATGCAAATTGATGACTCGATAGAAAAACGATTGTCCGACACTCCAAATTCGAACGTTTTCACATAAAGCAAACATTCACGCTCGTGATCAATTTACTATTGATTCTCTTTTGAACTGGCAATGTCCCAAAGTCAAGATCCGATCCGCATATGCTTGCTATCAATTAAAGCGAGTACTCTTCGTGGTTAATGAGGTGTATCCCAGGAATACCGAACCTTTACCATTTCGCTTCACGAATTGTTACAATGCGCCTTTCATCTTTCAATTCGAGCTCGTAAGATTCGAATGCCCCCACGAACCTTCCAAATGTTCAAGGTTTTCTTCTGAGGTCATTACGATTTTTCGTTTCCGAAATCTGAGCCCGAGGTCACAGAATATGATTCGAACTACAATGATTTGCAACGAGATCGTAATCGTAGAAGGACAAAAAACAAGCTGAGAACAATTCTCAACCTCCCCATCATCTATCCATTCTCTTTTGGACGTATCAACATATATGAGAGTCTGCAGAGTTTTTGCATGTCATTATGTTAAGCAATATTAAGTGAAATAGACCGAAAAGTGGTTAAACACAAATAACAGAGAAAAAAGTCATTTTCGGTCAAAGCATGTCTTACTTAATATAATAGTCATATGTGAATATACGAATATAATTATCGGTTCTAAGATATAATATCGCGGCGATTCAAGTTGCCAGACTTGAAATACAATCATTATGCATCAAAATAAATTGATACGAATTTATTATATTGATTAAAGAATGTAGGAAAACATTATCACAATAGAAAATAGAATCATGAGGAAACAAATTGTATATGTATATAAATACGTGGTATTCTTTTAAATAGAGTTCTCTTA